GAATAGTGGTGACACCACCAATTACCTTGGGGACCCCTTTATAACACCATGGTGAAGGGAATTAACAAAAGATCGGACAGAGAAGGGCCACCTGGGTGGCTCAGTCGGTTGAGCATCTGACTCTTGATTTTGGCTCAGGTCATGTTCTCAGGGTCCCGAGATCAGGCCCCACATCAAGCTCTGCGCTCAGAGCAGCGTCTACTTGTCCCTCTCCCTCTGCTCCCCCCTACACATCCTCCCTTCATGTTCTCTCTCTCTCAAATGAATTTTAAAAATCTTAAAAAAAAAAAAAAAGATTGGACAGAGGATAAAAGTGGTTGAGGAGAGGTCAGCAAGAGACAATATCTTTAATTAATGTTAATGAAATTTCCTGCTCTGTGAAAGGATTGGTAATTTGTTAGAAACTTTTCTAGAAGGATATGATTGAGGACAGGATCAAAGTGCCTCCTTACGTGTCTGGAGGAAGCGATCAACTAAACTACAATTACTTTAAATTAAGACATACAGCTGGAGATGGTAACATATTTTGAGGTTCCAATGAAATAATCATGATATAATCCTCCCAGAAATGGGTGATCTAATTATGGACTGAAAGGGGAAAATGGTGGAGCACAGGTATGTGAGTATGGCAGTGTGCAGGCTCCAGCATCACGCAGAGAAGAGCAGAAAACAATGGGATTCAGGGTGGTCCCAGTATGAACCCTGATGGGGCTAGCTTGAACTGGCAGCCAACCTTATCCTGCCCATCTTTTAAAGTGATTACTTAAGTACAACTAGTTAAGTACAACTTTTTTTTTTTAAGATTGCTATTTCACATATATACTAGTATTTAAATTCATCCACACATCAAGAATTGGAAGACAATCATCATTAACATGAGGCCTAAAATAATGTTTTGGCTCCAGGCTCCCTCTACTGTCTCTACAATAATAGACAAACATTTTATGGCACTCTCCTGACTAGATTCCAATATTTGTGGAAGTTGAATAAACACAATACTTGTGCAATGATAAAGGATATCCTCAGTATGATAATCAGCAAGTTCAATATTTGGAGAGAGTTGGAAAATTATAAACTAGTTAATGAAATATTTACATAGATGGAACCATATAAAGTTGTCATTATTTGACTGTGTTTAATCCACAAATGGCTATTTCATATGGTTCAACCTTATATATGAACATTTAATTGTCAAAGATTAGTAAGAGGTTTGTGTGTGTGTGTGTGTGCTGGGGAGTTGTTACTGCTTTTAATCTCTATTATGAAATTCCCTAAATACATTGGCTAATTTACATGCTTTTTTTTTTTTAAATTTACATGATGCTTCTTGATCAAAATTAACTACAGGATATGTTAAATCCTGTGTCTTATATACAATATAGTATATCCTATAACTTGGGTTTAGAAGAAAGAAATCTGCTTTCAGCTTAAAAAGTGTGAAGATACAAAATGTTTCACACGGGAAAGTAAATGAAACAGATGTAAAAAAGCCTTATGTTTACAAGAGGAAAGCTGGAAATAAAATAGTTAACATTTTAACTGTGAAAGGAGGAAGTAGGGCAATTTGCATATACTTCAAACAATCTCACACTATTGTGAAAACCTGCAAATCCTGGAAAGAATTAGAGGTAGAAGCCAAAGTCAATACACTTCAAATACCCTTGATGTTTCACAGTCACTAATGAGAAAGCATCTTCTGAGTAAGTTCACACTTGGCACAAAATAAATATTAATTCTGTTTTTGGTAATTTTCCAAAAAAGTTAATATTTTACAGTTCAGAGTTTTATTTCTTAAGTCTGCCTTTGAAGCTGGGAAAATGCTTTTTGAAGTTCTGTTTTCATCGTCCTAGGAATTTAGTCCAAGAATGAAAGATGCTATCAAAGATTTATTTACAAAGATGTTAATCAAAACCTTATTTTTATAGTTACTGTCCTCTACTTTAGTTCTATGTCTAGCACAGTGCCTAATATATAGCAAACACTCAATAAATGTTCTTAAAGAATTACTGGAGAAAAGTTGGAAATTTCCACATTGGGGACTGATTAAATTATGAATAAATTGTGGCTTATACGTATTATATAACATCACATGGCCATTAAAAATGTTTTGAAGACTTTTTAAAGGCTTCAGGGAAATGTTAAGACATTGGAGAGAATGTCAAGCAAAGAGAGATGCTAACAATATGTGCACTAATACAAACTTTATAAATATATGCACATGAAAAGGCTAGAAGGAAAAAAAGAAATTACTGACTGATGTGGGTTTTTTTTCTTTGTGCTTCTATGTTGCAAATTTTCTATCATGAACATGTATTACTTTTGTAATCAGAAAAACACCAAATGTTGAACATTTTTTATGATGTTCTGATAACATTCGGATCTGTAATAAAAATTTATCCATTAAAAAACCTGGAGTGTAATAAGAGATAGTTGTTATGGGGTGATTCAGTATTTGGATGGGTGTTTGACTTTGTCCCTTCACTTTGTCAGAACAAATCCTCACTACATAGATACTTTGGGCCTGAATGCAGGAGCCAGAACTAAACTATGCTCTACTTTTGAGTATTACACCAGTGATAACTTCTGCACAAAGGTTATAGAGGGAGGTGAATTATTTCTAAAGTTATGCAAATATGAAATGTGATATTTTTTCATCAGAGAGAAATAAAATAACCAGCATGGGTTCAAATAGGCATTTTACCTAAATGATCTTTAATCCTGGATATAGGCACTTTTATTCATATACATAATATTATAGTATAAGTCATAATAGCGAAGTGTTATTGATCAATTGTCATGTGCCATGCTCTATCAGAGGCTTATTTTCGCTCATTTCATATTCTAAGCTACCAGGGCAAGTAGTGTTATTATCCCCACTTAGCATTTGATGACTCTGAGGCCCAAGGTGGAAGCCAGATCTGTCTAACCCCTTCTCCACGCAGAGACAATATTTTTATTCTCCAAGGTCATTAAACCATTTTTGACCCTTCTTTCAGAAAAAATAAATAAACATTGAAAACACTGCATTCTACAAATGGACTTGAGCTCTTCTGTTGGGGGAAGAGGGGTTAGGAAGAGGAAGTTTAATCAGTTAAATATGGGGTTTCTTTACATCTCTGTGGTGTAGGATAATGGGAATAGCCAGTCAGACATTACTCATTTATCAATACTAAGCAAATTCATCAAACTAATGTTTTAAGCCTATTGATAGAAAAATATAATGACTTTCCCTTTGTCTTGATTGAACAAAAAGTCTTCAAACTTAATACATCAGCGATGTAATGGTGCTCCTATAATAGCAGAGATAGTGGTTTTCTATGTCCTTATCAAACTGGGTATGTATCTGTCAATAACTCATTGAGTTCTTTAAAAAACTTCCATTCTGGGGCGCCTGGGTGGCTCAGTTGGTTAAGTCACTGCCTTCGGCTCAGGTCATGATCCTGGAGTCCCTGGATCGAGTCCCGTATCGGGCTCCCTGCTCGGCACAGAGTCTGCTTCTCCCTCTGACCTTCCCCCCTCTCATGCTCTCTCTATCTCATTCTCTCTCTCAAATAAATAAATAAAATCTTAAAAAAAAAAAAACTTAAAAAAAAAAAACTTCCATTCTGGCTTTCTTCCTTTGGCTTCCTCCCTCCATCCAGGAGTCTCAGGAGATTGAGTGAACATGGACAGATGATTAAGACAATTTAAAGACAACTAAATCTCTATATACCCTTGGTTCCTGAAATGGTCCAAGCGTTCAAATTTGATGAGGATGATGATAAAATTTACCATTTTTAAAGCATCTTCTACATGTCAGAGCTTTATATACTTTGTTATTTGAAGCATCTACCAAATCTACACAGTCTACACAGTCATCTACACAGTCATCTACCAAAGTACATATTCCCAAAAGGTACCTAACCCCAGAGGTTAAATAGCGATTATACCTCATATCATGTGGCTACTTAGTGAAATTCGAATCCGGATTTGATTCCAACAAACGGGCATCCTTCAAAACCCGTTGCCTAGCAACAAATCGATCCTAGAGACTTCCCAAGTGATGAAAAGCAACCAATTCCTTCCTAGAAGCCAAGCGTGAGGGACTATTAGAATTTTCTAATAGAAGTGCTCCCCACCCCCTTTTGTGACCCAAACAGTTATTTAGGCCGTAAAACCTCCCATTGGCCGAGGTCAATTTCACATCCTAAGACCTTCCCCCCCGCTGGGGGAAGAGGAGGGTCCAAGACTCCCAGGAAATTCATAATTTTCTTGGAGCGACCTCAAGTTAGGGACCAAGTCCTGCAGGCGACGTTTGTTCATCCACATCTAGGGATAAACCTCTCTCCAAACTCAAGACTTCTTTTACTTCACAATTTTAAAACAGGAACGAGGCCACCCCGCCCTTCTCCCTCTCCCTGCCAAGAAAAGGATCAGGTATGGACAACGACATTCCAATTCCCCTCCTTTCTTCATTTCTCAAAGTAACGGGTGCAAGTGCGGACGTGTGTCCGAGATTTTATACACCCAAAGCGCGGCGCGGCGGAGCAGCTGCGCTCTCCCGAACCCGGGTTTCTCGCCGCGTCCCCTTCGTGATTCCCCGAGCTTGCTCCGCCCCCGTCCCGCCCCCGCCCTGCCCCTCAGCCCCGCCCCGGGCTCGCCCCGCCCCGCCCCCTCAGCCCCGTCCTCGCCTTGCACCGCCTCCCCAGGCTAGCCTCGCAGGCCGGCGGGAGGCTCGTCTCGTCCGGCCTCTCGCGTCTCGCGCCCTCCAGCGCTACCTGGGCGCGTCCCGCCTCCTCCCCGCCCCTCAGCCGCTCTCCCAGCTTGCCCCGCCCCCGCCCGAGCGTTCCTTCCGCCTCTGCCCTCCACTGCTGCCCGGGCTCCAGCGGCCCGCGGTCTCATCTCCATGGCGACGCTGTGTCTCCGGTTCCTCGCTCCGAACTCCGCGCGAACCGCGAGCGGGGCTGGCCTGCGGTGTCTGCCCTGCGGACCGGCGGTGTGAGAGGACCACGAGCCGGTAAGAGGCGCTGCGGCGACTGCGGGTCGCCCCCTCCCCACCCTCGCGTGCGGACAGACCCAGCCCCGGCCGCCGACTCCCCCGGGCCCCGCGCCTGAACACGCAAACTTCTCTGTCCCGGCTCCGGAGCTTCACGGCTGCCGAGGCGGCGCGCGAGAAGGTAGGCTCCGCGCGGCTGCTGGGGCACCTCGGACTTGGCTTCCTCCTTTGGCTGTAGTCAGGCACTCAGGAAAGGATATAGTATTTGTGTCTACATGGGTGTGAGTGATAACTAGGCAGTTCTGACCACCATTCTCTGACCTGCCGATTCGCATGCGCAAACTGCTCCCCATCCCCCAAAACAGTGAACATAGCCTTGTTGCATCTCAGAGCTTCCAGCTACTTCGCTCCATGCTTGACCCCCACTCCCCTCCTTTTTTAAAAAACATTTTTTCTCTTATTTGTTTTTTTTTCTTACTTTTTTGGGGAAGCAGCTTAATGACCAGTAGGAGCCAGCATTCACTGATTGTACTTAGGATGCCATTACTTGCTAGACATAACTTGCTCGGCCCCCAAAAAATTCTTGTGGAATTTGAACAAATCATTGGATCTCCCCGGGCCGTGTTTTCATCTTGTGTAAAATGAGGGGCTAACAGTGGATCACTTCTAAGGTCCGGTCTTCAGCCTTCTGTGAGGTGACAAAACTGACTTGAGATTTCCAAAATCAAGATGTGTGGCCTTTGATTGCTACTACTACTCTGCTCGGCGCCGCTGTGGCACTTAAGTTAACACAGGGCATAATTACAAATTTATCGTTTGACTTCCCAGAGGGCATAGGTGAGTTGGGCCAATTTGTTCTTACCCCAAGAGACCCCTGGGAGTGGCTTTTAAAAAATAAACCTGAAAAAGACACTGAAAATGTCTTTTGATTTGTTTCATTCTCCTAAAAACCAAATGGAATGACCCCCAAATCCACATTTATCTATTTAATCAGTCAATCTCAGGAAAATAAAGTTAAGATTTTTCCAGAGGTGCATTCCCACACCTTTGTAGGGATTCCACTGCACTACTCTAGAATTCCAGAGCGTCCTATCCCTACCCCTCACCGCCACCGTTTGAGCTAAATGCTCAGTGTTTTCTCCCCCTTATTTGCTCTGTCCAGTCTCAAGTGTGCACTTAGAACTGGCTCTCTTAGAGTTCACCTTCAGCACCGTCCTTGCTAGGTGGTAGGTAATAATGTAATAGGAGAAGGAGTTGTAGTAATTATAATTGTAGTAGGAGATAGGTGTTATTATTTGTTATAGCTATTTATATTAATCTTCCCAGTAACTCTATGAGGTAGGTAGTATTTTTGTCCTCATTTTACAGTTAAGGAAAGTGAATCAGAGAGAGGTTAAAGAACTGGCTGAGTTCACAACAATTTGCTGAGATATGAACATAGACAATCTGACTCTGGAGTCTGGGCTCCTAGCTCTACATTGTACTGTAAAGGAAATACATAAAATTTATATGTTGTCACTTTTAAATATGAATGTAAATGATAGATGATCATTGAAACCATTTTTATACACATTTGAGACTATGCAATGAGGATTGCCCCTGAATCCTTTTGTGTCCACACTAGGCTCCCCGACGTTGGAGGATGGTGCTTAATCAGCTCTGTCTCCTCATCAGTTGCAGGGCCTGAGCATGTAGCTATCTATTTCTTAATTCATTCTTTGCCTAGTAGAATTCTAGGTGGCTTATAAAAACAAATAGTACAAAAGGATAAATTGCACAAATGGGATGGAGGAACATGTATATATCTTCCAGTATTACAAGAGAAACCTAAAATGAGAATTTTGTGAAATCTGAATTTTGAATGCTGGTAACTCATTTTATGAAAGTTTTTCGAAACCTATAGAATCCAAATAAAACCTATTTGGCCCTATTGGCTGCTGGTTAGTGAACATTTACCTGGAGAAGTAAGGGGATGAGATGTGTTACGCTCTTTTTTTAGTACTAAGTCCTTATAATCTGGTGTGCATATCTTAAATTGAACCAATCAGATATCAGGTGTTTAACAGACACATATGTCTAGTGGCTACCATATTGGATAGCAAAGATCCAGTTTAATACTTTATTTTTCTTGCTTTCTTTCTATTTAACAAATATTTATTGAGCACCAGTTTATGTGGTACTTGAGTTTTTCTGTTCTTTGTAGCCAAAAAAAACCCTAGCTGAACTAATTGGGCCTTTGACTGGGGTTTTTGTTGAGTCAATTTTTCCAAAAGGCTACAACTATATCACACAAAACTCATGTTTTGTACCATGTGTATAAGATCTGTCTGGAATGAGAGAAGAATGAGGCCCACCTGGAGGGAGAAGCTGAGATGAACAAGGGAAATCCCATGCCCCTCCTTGAACACAGCTATATCCACTATTCTGACTTAACACAACTTGGCTATTTAACCTTGATTCTTTGAGCCAACCCTTTCTTCTTTTGCCTAAGCTAACTTGAATATGGTTTCTGTAACTTAAAACCAAGAGTCCAGACTAATATAGCTAAGAAGTCAAGAACTAAGCCCTTTCTTTTAGAAATGAGCCCATAATTGGGGCACCTGGGTGGCTCAGTTGGTTAAACATCTGCCTTCGGCCTAGGTCACGAGCCCAGGGTCCTTGATTGAGCCTCACTTTGGGCTCCCTGCTCAGAGGAGAGTCTGCTTCTCCTTTTCTCCCTCTCCCTCTGCCCTTCTGCACACAACCCCTCCCCCCCCCCCCGCCGCTTGTGTTTTCTCTCTTGCTCTCTCTCAAATAAATAAATAAAATCTTAAAAAAAAAAAATGAGCCCATAATGACCCCTACCCTGACCTCCAAAGTACATCTTAATTTACAAAATAAACAGAATATTTTCAAACACATATAATCACATAATTATGCCTTTATAAATCACTTTGTCATATACAGTTTATATATTTAATGAGATACATTTATCTTCTGATTAATACTACCCATCTTTCTATATTAGTCATTCAGTATATTTTTCTTAATAAAAATAAATTTATATCTGCTTGTCCCCAAGTCTTTTCTCAGAATCATCCCTCCCAATTCTATGGGCCTTTCTTTTTAATTTTAAGAGTATTTTAAGCCAATTAAGTTACTTATATCATTCCAGTGGTTTTATTCATTCAGTCAATATCTGAGTGCCTTTAAAATGGTATGAGACCCACACTCATGAATAAGAACAAGTCTGTGCTCTCCAGAAACTTCTATGCTGGTGATATAATCATTCCACCACCCTGTAGTTATCTGTCTACATATTGCTTATGGGTGTTTCCTGGACTGATTCTTTTACTCCACCTGCTTCTTAATGTTGGTATTTCCCAGGATTCTCTCCTGGGCCTTGTCTCTTATTCTACATGGGCCATGCCATCCATCCATCCATCCATCCATCCATCCATTACAGCCATCCCACACGTGATCTTTTCTCTTGAGTTCTAACTCTCTTTGATAGAATTGAGCACCACTTAATTTCAGATGACCTACAGACATCTCCAACTCAGAATTTCCCCCAAACAAACTCATTGTCCACCCCCCAAGAATGTTCCTCCCCTGGTACCCTCATCCTAGTCATCCACACTAGAACCATCAACTTCTTTTCTTCGCCCTCACTTCTATGTCTAATGATCTTCAGTTTTACCTCTCTTTTGGTTCCAAGTGTACCTTCTTGGCTTTGTACATCATCTTTTTTCCCTGGACTAGGGTTTGGCAATTTTTTTTCTGTAAAGGGCCAGATAATATGTATTTGAGGCTTTGTAGGTCATACAGTCTTTGTTGTAACCATTTAACTCTGCCGTTGTAGCCTGAAAGCTGCCATTGACAATGTACAAACAAACAAGCATGTCTGTGTTCCAATAAAATTTCATTTATAAAAGTAGGCAACAAGGGGCGCCGGGATGGCTCAGTCGGTTAAGCATCTGCCTTCGGCCTCAGGTCATGATCCCAGGATCCTGGAATGGAGCCCCACCTCTGGCTCCCTGCTCAGCGGGGGGCCTGCTTCTCCCTGTCCCTCTGCCTGACACTCCCCCTGCTTGTGCTCTCTTTGTCAAATAAATAAATAAAATCTTAAAAAAAAAAAAAAAAGTAGGCAGCGAGTCATATTTGGCTCATGGGCTTTCATTTTCCAGCCCCTGCTCTGGACTGTTACAATGGCCTTGTAACTGGTTTCCCCACCTCCCATTCTCTCAGATTTACCCTCCATAGCATTTCTTTTCTAAGATAGATCTAATCATATGATTGTTTTCAGAGCCTTGGTTTGCTTTCCATTGACTACTGGTTAAAACCCCACATCCTTTGCACATGGTAATTAATGACTTTTCAAGTTTGCTGCCACATACATATCCAACTCCATCTATTGCCATTTTCTAAGACATTGCTGTTCTTCCCCTTCTGTTGACTGTCTACTTGGCTAAATAAATGTCACCTTCATCGTGAAGCCTGACTCTTGCTTCCTATAGCAGGCAGAATAATATCATATTCTAGGGATACTTATAGAAATCATACCTGGAGGAATATAGCAAATGTGGAGGACAGTCCTCAGAACTGGATTCTGGAACTGGAAAGTTGTTCAGTGTCAGCTCTGTTGACTAGATTCTCTCTTCCTTTGTCTTTCCAATTCTGTCTTCACTGCCTGTTGACTCCCCTTGGGTATCCCTAGTCCATGAGCTCAAAAGAAGGGATTTGATTGACCCTGTTTGGGCAGTATGGAAAATTATATTAGAGGGAAGCATTTAGTACAGTACTTTGAAGCTTGGTCTGTCCTGTATATGGGAAGTTGATACTTGTTTCCCCTATAAAATTCTGAGCTTCTCTTATATCCCCAGAGCTTATCACAAACATATCTGTGCTAAGGTACATGGTAGGTGCTCATCAAATATTTGTTGTAAATAGACATTGAATATTGGGACATGAAGTAGACATGGAAGTCGGGAACTATCATAACTGTGTTTTTCCCATTACCACTGGGACTGTTGAAATACATCAGAAGAGGGCGCCTGGGTGGCTCAGTTGGTTAAGCGACTGCCTTCGGCTCAGGTCATGATCCTGGAGTCCCTGGATCGAGTCCCGCATCCGGCTCCCTGCTCGGCGAGGAGCCTGCTTCTCCCTCTAACCCTCCCCCCTCTCATGTACTCTCTCTCTCTCTCTCATTCTCGCTCTCTCAAACAAATAAATAAATCTTTAAAAAAAAAAAGAAAAGAAATACATCAGAAGAGTCTGCCCATGTTCAAAATCCAGAGTCTAGAGACTCAAAGGCTGATTAAATGAATGTTGTGATGTTAACATTAACCATATGCAATGTAATGAATATACAAGGTGTGCATCTCTATACCATTCTTTCTGGATACCATGACCCCAACTTGAATAGCGACCACTGGATGGAGAAGAGAATTAAAGTAGCACAAGGCCAATATACAGCTTAGATACCTGTAAGAGATGGATAAACATAGGGATAAAAATAGTGTTGCAAATTTTAAATGGTATTTTTTTAATAGATAATATATTTATTTTGTTCAAAGATCAAGAGATACAAATGGACATAAAGTAAAAAACTCCCTCCCACCGCAGTCCTGCAGCCATCCCTTTTTCCCACTCACAGTCAACCATTATTATGTTTCTTTTCTGAAAGCATTTCCTTTCAGAGATATTTTTTGCATACTGATAGTTATTTGAAAAATACATATTACTTATACAACGGCTGGACCTCGTTCTGCTCAGCTTATCAGTCACTGCTTTCATTCTACCTGTGTTCTCAGATTACTCTGTTTTTTCCCTGGAGTCAGTGATCTTTTTAAGCAAGTATCATTACTTTGGAGCTTATGTGATTTTTTAATTAATTAATTAAAAGTCTTCAGAGCTAGTCTGCTTGTCTCAATCACAGTAAAACCTTTTTGGCTCCCTAAGCAATCTTAACCAGCCCTATAGGACATCTTCCCAGTTTTTCCTTTAGATAAAACATCACATTGTTTCTACAGCATCCCTCCTGTGTGCCAGGTGCTATGCTAAACACTTTACCAGATCATCCTATTTAATTCTTACACTGATCCAATGAAGTTGGCACTATTGTGATTCCTGTTTTACAGATGGAGGAACTGAAACCTAAAGAAGTTAAGTAACCTACTGAAGCTTACTTGGGAAATGGTAGAACTGGGCCATGAATCCAGTCTCTTCCTCTAAAGAGCCCCAACTCTTGAGTATCACCCTGTACTGCCCCCCACCCCATAGAATTCAATTTTATGAAAGGAGATTAAATGGACATTTCCTAGGTAATGATAAATCCAGACCTAGCAGAGCCTGGGTTTCCATCAAGGGCTGGGATCTGCCCATCCTAGGTTTTTCTTTTACCAGGTGAAAATGGGAGAATTATATGCCCTGATGTTTCATCCAGGTAAAAGGTAGAATGTAGCAATTCATAAAGATCCTAGAGCTAGAAAGGAGAGAATATAAATATAAAGAGGATGTCTACTCAGACATATGGGCTGCGGAAATCTGTGGAAAGTACCTCTCAGGACAGGTCATCTTGGATTTCTTTTGTTAGGGCCTTATTTGGTTCATTATTGCATTGTTTCAGCCTTTGAGCTCTACTGCCCTAGAGAAGTAGGGCATTTATCCTAGAGTCTGGTCTTCTGCAACTTTTTTTTTTTTTTAAGATTTTATTTATGTATTTATTTAGAGGGAAAGAGCGCTCATGTGAGTTGGGGGGTGGGGTGGGGGCAGAGCAGAGGGAGAGGGAGAGAGAATATTAAGCAGACTCTATGCTGAGTACTGAGCTGGACACCACTGGGCTCCACCTCAGGCGACCCTGAGATCATGACCTGAGCCGAAATAAAGAGTTAGATGCTTTACTGACTGAGCCACCCAGGCACCCCTGGTCTTCTGTAGCTGTTTTTCCCGAAAAGATGCCTCGCTTTTTTGATGGACTTCAGCTCTCTCTGAATTTCTCAGAGGGATAATCAGATTAATAACATATATAATGTCTGGCTTGATCAGGATTTCCCGGAAAACAAAGCCTGGGACAAAAGTTTATGTACCAATGCTTTATTCCAGAGTACAAATCAGTACAAGGGAGACAGATTTTAAAAGAGAAAAACTTAATACAAAATAGAAGCTTCTCTTTTATTGTCCACAGTTTTGGCCTTGAATTTTGTATTCCAGAAATCCCTAGTATGTACTTCTACTACTAATTTTTGAAGTCTTGCTTGGGATGTGGGGATAGCAAGTGTTGGGGAAGGAGAGGGCAAGTGAATTGTTATTTATGAAAAATTTAAGTGTGGCCTCTCTCATACTTAAAAACCGTTAAAAGTTGATTTTTGTCTTAACAATTAAAATTAAATTTGCCCAAATATGTGAAGAGCTAACTTACAGGAAAATCTGTTTAGGGTAACCTAAGAAAGGTGAACATTCACAAAGAAAACATTGTAATTTGTAAGTATTAATAAATACATAGGGGAACTTATAAGGTAAGAATTGTATTTTAAAATGTATCTTTGGATAAAAATCAAAGGTTAATTTCTAAATGTATTTATTGAAATAAAAATATTTTATTTAAAATATCTCTTATCTTGAAATACCATGCAAAAATTTCTTGTTCTGGCTTAACTACGCTGTTTTTCATAACACAGATGAACTGGAATGTGGCACAGATGAACTGGAATGTGGTTTATGTTGTTTTATTTTGTTAAAGTAGGGGAGAAACATGGCTTTGGAAGGATGAGCCAAGCTGAATTTATGATTTCTAGGGTCAGCTCAGTAGGAAAGGGGAGTCCTTAACCTACTGTTGATTGTATTTGGATCTGGATCTAGAGTCCAAGTTATGTAAAACCAAAACAGAAGCAGAGAATTAGAGGCTTATTTAATATCTCACTTTTCTAACATGCAAAATTATTCCTATAGCTCTTTTTACATAAGCTCCAAGGTGAAATGGGGAGAAGGGAAGGGCTACTTTCTCTAGACTTTTTTTTTTTTTAACCCAATTTCATAATACAAAAGAATGAGGTTTTTCAGTTAGGATGGCAGTGACACTACTAAATAAAAAAGCCAAAATATTTAATATCCTTCTGACAGAGTTCTGCATTGTTTTATTTATAGTCTAAATTTATACAGTGTTTAAAGACTCAGGAAGTCAATATTTTGTTTTTTGCAAGAATTATCTAGACAAGAAAGATGCTGTAAAGATAAGACTATATAAATTATTTTTAGGATGCTATAGATCTCTTTTACCACTAATTTACATAGTTTCTGAATAATTGGCTTTAGTATAAAATTATATTTTAGTGTAGATAATAGAAATGTTTATATAAAGGCTATTTATAAATTATTTCAAATATCTCAAACTAAAATAATAATGATAATGCTAGTTTTTATTTTTGCTTCTATTTTAGGTACCAAAATATAAACAGAATGGCAGATTGCTAGTGTTTGACCCAAAGGGTAAATGATTCATTACTTAAAAAGAATATGTTTCATCACCATTTTGTCCTAAATATTAAGAAGATAGTCTACTTGAGTGGTTGAATGTGGTTGAAGTCTTAGCAGTTAAATCCTTTATTAGATTGCTTGTCATTCAAAAAATGCTGAAGTGTATTTGCCAATCAGGAATTTCTGTTAGGAACATGACTACAGAAAAAATACTGAGTTGATTTTTTTTCTTCTCTTTCAGAAAAAGTGATAATTGAACCAAATGAAGCAATGTCAGAGTAAGAAGATGTCTCTGGTTGTGCAGCTGATCTATCACATGCCTTTTGAGCAATTAGAACTAGATAATGCAGTCATTTGTCACCCAATTAAATTTGAAAGGCCAGAAATGCATGGATTAGCACTTGAGCTTTTGCTTCAGTCAAAGCAGTTGTTACTTAGACAAAAGAACATTTAAAATGAAAAATGAATTTTGATAAAAATTTAGAGGTATAGATAATAGTCATTTCTACTTTTTAAATGCTTAAATACCAAGTAGTCTGTATTTTACTTACAGAACTTTCATTGTTCATTTTTATTTCCTTTTGATACTTGCTCATGTCTTTCAGAATATCCCTTTAAATGAATATTTACTTTAAAATTAAAGATTTACTATGAGATGAATCATTACTACTAAATAAGGGAAACTGATCACCCCAATTAGTTGAAGGGACTAGAATCATGGTCCAGTTTCAGTATAGTAGCTAAATATTAAGTACCTGCTTTGTTCAAGGCACTGATTATGATAATTCATCAAAACCTTTCCTGATCTGATCATCTCCTACCTCCTGAGAAAAAAATTGTATTATTAATTCCATGAAAAATTGTACTTTGAAAGTTGATCATAAAACACATTCATAGTGATCAATTATTGGCAGATTGGTAGAAGGGTGCCAAACTGATATTACTTTGGTTTATTCTGAATAAAATTGGCTGGGAAATTTTTCACCTCATGCAACATATATTTTAATTTTCATACTGTCAAAGCTAAAAATTAAAATTAGAGTCCACCTTGGCTTTGGTTGTAAATTATATATTAAATACATACTTTTATATTAAAGAGAAAGAATGTATGACAGATCAAAGACAGAGAATCTATGTTTATTTCATATTGTTATAGCTAATCAGAAAAAAATGCCCCATTAAGTATATTAAGCTATATGTAAATAAGTATCTATATCCAATTACATGGTTTGAAACATTTAAATTTTAAAAATGTAAGAAAATTTTTGTAGTCTTTGAAGGAAGTATGATATAACTTTCAATAATAATAATAGTAGGTCATTAATGAAAATAAATTACTATTGTGTCTGTGAATACTGATGTTCACATAGATTGTGATAAGCAGTGTTGGAACTGAAGCAAAGGGTAATCCACATCCTGAGTTAAACGCCAGGGATAAATCAAATGCAGCCTGGGCCAAAATGAAAAAGCAGAGTGATTACTTGTTCTCTTGATCTCATTAATAATTGCATCTGCTTATCAAACTAATTTTTGCAAGGACAAAAAGATCATGTTCCCTTCAGTTCCCTTGCAGAGAAGAATTTGGGTTTGGTTTGATTGTTGTTTGGAGTGAGGGAGGAGGAGGAATGGTTAGTGTAGCCAGTAAGCTTCACAGGTGTGTGACTTTGTCACCTTGAACCTTACCCAGAGTTCAAGGTAAAGAGGGCCAGTCCTGGAAAAAAAAAATGATCAAGTAGGAAAATAGAAAATCAGAGGACCTTTGCTGAAGGAGCAGTGTGACCTGGAAAGTTGATGAATTTTCTCAGTATAGCTTTCATTCTACTCTCTATCTCCCTGCTGGCGGCACCTCCTCCTCTACCCTCCCCCCCCCCAACTCCACTTCCTCCTTTGTCAGGTGAAGCAGTGGGAGTGCATTTGCCTTAGTCTTCTGATTGCTTCTTTAGTCTGAGGCATAAGGAGTGTATGGACTTAGAAACAAAGAGGGGCGCCTGGGTGGCTCAGTCGTTAAGCGTCTGCCTTTGGCTCAGGTCATGATCCAGGGTCCTGGGATCGAGCCCCGCATCGAGCCCCGCATCGAGCCCCGCATCGAGCCCCGCATCGAGCCCCGCATCGAGCCCCGCATCGAGCCCCGCATCGAGCCCCGCATCGAGCCCCGCATCGGGCTCTCTGCTCGGCGGGAAGCCTGCTTCTCCCTCTCCCACTCCCCCTGCTTGTGTTCCTGCTCTCACTGTCTCTCTCTCTGTCAAATAAATAAATTAAAAAAAAAAAAATCTTTAAAGAAACAAAGAGTTTCAAATTGGGGGGCATGCAAAGCCCACATTTATTATTTCCTCTTTTCCCCATGGATCCCATGTGTGAAAGATTTTGTCTACCCAACAAATTGCACTTAATTAATAATTTTCAGCAAAGAAGTACAATATATCTTTAATGCTAGATGAAGTTTTATAGATCTCGGACCTTTGATCTCTTGGGTTTGGGGTCAAGCTTTCAAGCATACTTAAAGATGTTGAGGGGAATGGCTAAAGTAAATCCACAGCATTCAATTGAAAAAAATGTACCTATAGGTTTTCCATAATCATATGTTTTATCTCTTCTAAAATGAATGACAAGCTATTCTTTTAATTTCTGTTTTTATACCTTAAGTAAATGCCTCTTTGGACGTAGAGCAAGATTGGCAAGCAAACTTTGTACCTTACCGACACAAGTCTCTCTAAATGTAGGTAGGACATTCTCAGAAAAGTAAGTTTTAATCAATTTCAGTTTTAAGCCTATGTTTGACAAGTTTAAATGATTTTTTAAGCAAAGTTTAAAATCTAAACTTACTGACAAAATTATTAATTCCAATAGAAATTTGGGGCCACTTCATAAATATGCCTAAAGCTCTTAATAGATTTTTAGGAACAGTCCTAAAATCTAGGTTATCTGTGCTCTAACATAAATATGTTTCAGTAGGATATCTAACTTGACTGACTCTCTGACCTAAGTAGAAACTAAATTAAATATCTTCCATTTCCGGGGCACCTGGGTGGCTCAGTTGGCTAAGCAACTGCCTTCAGCTCAGGTCATGATCCTGGAGTCCCGGGATCGAGTCCCACGTCGGGCTCCCTGCAGGGAGTCTGCTTCTCCCTCTGACCCTCCTCCCTCTCATGCTCTCTGTCTCTCATTCTCTCTCTCTCAAATAAATAAATAAAATCTTTAAATATCTTCCATTTCCAAAGAATATTACATAAAGTAAAAATTTGAATCTTTCCTCAACTGTAACTATTTGAATTAAAGAAAACAAATCTTTTAGAGTATACTAGTTACCTATTTTTCTTAAATGGTTAGAGGCATTACCGTAAATAATATCATTTTCTCAAATGGAAGTCAAAAGATTATAGTTGAAGAGGAGGTTGGACTTTGAGACTTTGATTCTTTGAAACTATGTATGAGAAAGACTACAGAAAGTGAGCAGAAAAGGAATTCATATTTTACTGTTAAAATGATGATTTTGTCAATTCTCATATGTATTTTTGATGGTATGTTCACTGCTTCCAAATAGTAATATCCCATTTAATATTGGGCATTGGCTTCTTCCATGTTGTGTCATTAAGGTTATTAGAGGCATTTCCAATTATCTAAATACCCAGAACTATACCAGATAAATTCCCTCTTAGGGATATAATTAGTGAATATGTAAGTACCATATCTCATAGATTCTAAAGCACACATATTCTCTTACAATTGATGGCATCTTACACTTAAATTCGGCAGTGCTTTTTCTTTCTTAAATAACAGTATATCTTATAGTAAATACATGGTGTCTTAGATTCAACGAAACACTAATTTGTTGTGGGGGGAAGACAGCAAAGTTCTTTGATTTAGATTAGATAGAGCATATAAATTCTAGTAATCACTTGTGGCAAGCTTTGACATAACAGGAATCTCACTAGAAATTAAATACTTAACTGACTTCTCAACTTTTTAGATGTAGAGTTTCATCTTGGATGCTTTTTTTTTTTTTTTTTTTCATAATTAGAAAGTCAAGGAGGGCAGAGGCACAACAAATGTAAATCAACTTTGCATTTTTCATTACTAGAGAGGGGTTTTGCTTTAGGAGCATATACTGAGGAAGTGAGATTCCGTTCCCTCCCATAATATTAAGAATATAACAAGCTATTCAGCCTGTTTGCTAAATCACTATACAAGATCACTGACTTAACTATACTCATGTTCTGGATTCATATGGCAGTGGGTAAAAGAGCCACCATAACTGGGGAAAGAAAATAGTTCACATCTTTTTATATCTTGACATGCAAAGTAGAAGTTGAATTTTTTTAATTTGGTAAAGGAGACTTTTTTTAAAAGAATCTTAAGACCACAGAAAAGAGACTTGGGATTATTTTTTCACCAGCATGAGTACCTGTCTTTGTAAACAGTGCACCACACATGAATCCTCTGTCTTAATGCATTATTATTGACATGAAGTTTCAGGGCTTAAAGGCTAAAAGAGAAAATTAACCCATTTTTATTTCAGCTACTTAATGAAAAAGCAGGCTACTTTATGTTATGACCAAGGTTTGATATTCGTCTTGGACTCTCTCTGTAAGTGTAGCATTTAGCAATGGTGAGAACTGGTCTATAAATCTAGAAAAAACCTCAAGGCTAGTATTCCTAGTTTTATTCCAACATATTACAATGATATGGCAAAAACATTCATATAATTGATTGCTTGTATGCTCTATGTTAAAGAACCCTGAAAAGATTTTAAGGGTCATTACACAATGACAAATGCCAAGTAGAAATAGAATTTTAATCATCAGTAAAAATGATTTTTAATGCTTTTCCACAAAAAAGATACTACATTTTAGCTATTCAGTTTATTGTTGATATATTCTGTGTTTATATTAAGTGTGTGTGTATGAATGCATATGAAGCTTTAAAAAGAACTGTGACCTAGGAAAGTATTTTTTCACTATTTACTTTAACATTTAGGAAGGAAGTCTCTTCAAAAAATATTGAAAATACAGCTTCTTTAAGGAATAATGAAAATAGAGTATCTTCAAAGTGTATTGAAAATAAAGATACAGAAATGAATCTACAGTCTAATCTATGGTTATCTTCCTTCTTAAAGGAAAACACAGGTGATAACATTTGTTTCGTGCGAGTAAATGTAGCTTCTAAATGAGCCCTCCTGCGTGACCTCTGGGATACTGACAACTCTATAGGTCTGGAGTGGGTCATAGGAACCAGTAATTTTTGAAATTCATGTACCACATGATTCTGATATGCAGTCAGGTATGGCATCCATAGTATACATTATATAAAATGATAATGATGAGGTATTAAATTTTAAAATGAATTAAAATACCTATGAAAGCAGTAAGTTCCATTCATTCAACAATGGTTTATTGAGTGCCAGGACTGTTTTAGAAGCTATGGATACAATAGTTGGCAAATAGACAAGGTCCTTACTTTTATGAGGTTCACATTCTAGTGGGAGATAGTCAACTATTAAAAATAAATAATAAAAAATAAAGCAGTGACATGTTGTGGGGGGTGCTATTATAGAAATAAATGGCACCTAGGGGAGGACTATCTTAGCTCTAGGGAATCAGAAAATTTCCCTTGATGCTCAGTGTTTGTGAATTGAAGGAGACAGTTCCTGTGACATCACATGAAGTCCTTAATTCCTTATTATGACCTTCCCCTGATGACATCAGTGTGATGAGTCTGAGCAGGCTGGGTACCCACTGGAAGATTGATCAGGGTGGCTGTGAGGTGAATGGAGATTGTAAATGAAACAGAAGCAGGTAGATGGCCTGAAGAGCCCAGCCATTCTAGGACCGGTATCCCTTTCCAGGGTAGCATTTTTTTTTGTTTAGTCAGGAGTTTCCTTTAGAGTGGGGAGTTTTTATCAGCTTTTCCTTTTTTTTTTTGGCCTGGGTTTTCTTAACATTGTCCTCTCTTGAACTCTCCTGGATTTCCTCATTTTCTTTCTAACAAGTGTTTCTACATGATTTGGAGTAGCTAATGGCCAAACTCCCATGTCACAAGACTTCCCAACACTCAAAATCTTACACAAAAGCGAGGTGTCACACAAGCTCAGTTTGAAACTGTTAAGACGTCGGTAGAGCCAGACCAGTTGACAAGCTCACTCAGTAGTCTTTCGCAAAGAGATAATTTTTGGAAACACACAGTAAACTTTAAAAAAAAAAATTAGTTTAATAGTACTGTATTTCCATATGTGTCAGAAAAAAGTAAGACATGGTTACGAATATGGACTTGAGCCACACTGACTCCCAGATCTGCCACTTAAATTAGTAGTGTGAAGTCGGGTAGGTTATTTAACGTCTCTGTCCCTCAGTTTCATCTATGAACAGGGTGACGACAGTATACACCTCATTGAGATGTTGAGAGAATTAAATGAGTTAACATATGTAATGTTCAGAAGAGTAATGGTATATAATGTTTGTTAAGATTATTGTATGTTACTTTTATTCATACATATATCCGTTTCATGGATAGTAATGTTATGCTCTGATAAAATCTATATGTTAAAGTAGATGCAAGGAAAAATACTGAGTAAATAGTATTGGTGATACTCATATATCGCAAAATGAATGAAGATAGTGTAAGAATTAAACTATTGGAAAATGTTCCAGTAGATTGTATCATGGAGATTTTACTTCTTAAATATTTCTCTAATCTGTCCTTCCTCTCCATCCCTGTTTTACCAGTGCCCTATCATTAATCATCTCTCTCACCTGGACTTTTTAAAGAGACCTATAGCCTCTCTCCTTGCTCTTTTTTTTTTTCAGTCTCCTCTCCACTATACTGTCACCCTGCTAGCCAAGTGTTCCTTCAGAAATGCAGAATTGGTCATACTTGTTTTCCTACTCAAAATCCTTTATTAGTAGCCCCTTTATTCTTAGAATATGGTCCTAACTCCAAGACTTCCGGTCCATAAGACCCCATGATCTACTCACCCTTCCAGACACATCTGTCACCATTGCAGTCTCAATCTTGACCCCCAAGCAGCGTCAGAGTGCTTTGTCGCGCCACACACATTCTTGTTTCTGCATTGGCTCATGTTGTCCCTCTCTCCTTGGAAAAACTGATCCACTCAGACTGGACAATTCCTGACTACTCTCCAGAGTGGCAGGGGGCCCTCCTTTGTGCGCACATTTACCTAGCACACGTCTGTCACTGTACTTCCATACCGTTTTATAGCTATCCATTATGTTTTGACTCCCCACTTAGAGTGTGAATGAGTACCTGAGGACAAGAGCTGTTCATTTTTGTGTTCCTATGACTCCTCATAGTGCTGGGCACTGAATGGGGTAGTCATTAGTGCTTATTTTTATTTTTTAGTCATCTGCGTTTGGTCATAACTCCTGTGTCTTGACATTAAGAAGAATCACTAATAATGTTCTGTAGCCTCTGGTTATATCTAGAATACTTGACATGTCTCTTCCTAAGTTGTCTGTGTGTGTAGAAAAAGAAAGAACTTTATTCTCAAGTATCCAAGCAGTGACCTGACCTGCCTAAGAATTATTTACTGTTCAGCCTCTCCAGTCTTATTTTAGTCTCCAGACTTTATTTCATATTTACTTTCCTATAAGAACAGTTTAGGAAATGTATTTCTGGAGCTAGAATAGCATTAATTTCTTTTTTCTTGAAATCATTACTTTTTTTATAAACAAATTGTTTTCCATATATTAAAATTTTAAGCACCAACCAATTAACACTAACATTTATTCAGTGTTACTGGTTTGGATTTTTTCATCATGGCAGTTTTATTACTTTTTTTGGAAATGGAAATCACATAAGTTTATTGTGGTGCTAGTCATGAAAAAAATAAACTCTAGGAAACAATAGAGTAAACATGTCATTTGTTACATTTTAATTTAGGAGTAACCATTTTTAATGTTTGAACTTTTCAATATTTATTGATTAAATTATGTATAATTTAGGTCAAGTGAGCAAAGATGCAGTCCTTGCAGAGCAGGAGAAAAATAACAAACATTGCCTTCAGGATATTGATGATAAGTTGTCTGAATCAACGGACAATGATGGTGAAGATGATACCAATGATGAAGATAATGATGAAGATAGTAACCCTAAAAAGGATACTCATGCCCCATTAGAATTAATGGCAGAAGTAAGTTTAACTTGCGCATTGTAATTTAAGAAACTTAAAAATATTAAAATTACTAAATAGTGTATAGCCTTGAAGATTTAAAAAATAGTAAAGAGATCCTTGCCCATATACAGATGCTTACCTAGCTACTCATCTCTCTCACTACTTCATGAGGTTAGAGGTGAGAGAAGATTCTGGAAGTGACTTACAGTATTTGGTAAAGGCAGAAGCAGGAATCAAGTCTTGGCATAAAACTCTGCAAGGACTGCTTTAAGGAATGCTTTCTACATAACTGGGCACCATGCTAGTTTTGGGGGATATTTAGAGGTAAATAAGAAAGATAGGTCCTTACCCTTGAGAACTAACAGTTACATATTATGTATATAGTACAATTTATAATAAGGTGAAATGTGTGCTAGCAGAAGGATTTATGAGGTTCTCCGGGAATAAGGAGGATTAAGTGACTAATTGAGAATAGAAGTAGGAGAAACGGGATAAAGGAAGAATTTTTAGAGGAAGAGACATGGAGTCTTAGAATCTTGAAGGAAGAGGGAAGCTCAGGAATTCATCTGGTAAACAAGTGGAGAAGGCATTCCTGGTATAGGAAACAATATATACAAAGGCACTGAAGCCTGAAAGATCACATGCAAAAATTATACATAAACATTTACTGATAATTCTGTGGAGAGCAAAACACTTTTACCCCACTTGTGTCACAGTTAACATTATACAACTTCACGTGTATTGTAAGAACTTCATAACAGTACATTTTAACCTCCCCCTTCTTATCCTTTGTATTATTGTCATACATTTTACTTCCATATATACTGTAAGCCCTATGATATATTGTTATTATTTTTATTTTTAATGGTCAATCTTTTAAAAAGTTTTTTTTAATTGGAAAATATCTTTTTTTGGAATACATTTCTGGTGTTCTCTGTAGCTTTGTGTAGATCCAAATTTTCACCTGATATTATTTCCTTTTACCTGAAAAACTTGCTATAGCATTTTTTTATAATGCAGTTCTGCCAGCAGTGAATACTCTCAGCTTTTGTCTATCTGAAAAAGTCCTAATTTTATCTTCATTTTTAAAGGATGCGTGAGCTAGAGATTTGTAGGTTGCCAGGTATTTTTCGGTACAGATGGTCCCTGACTTACATAGTTCAACTTAGAATTTTTTGACTTTACAGTTATGTGAAAATGATACGCATTCAGTAGAAACTGAATTTTGAATTTTTATTTCTTCCTTGGCTAGCGATGTGTGGTATGATTGCTCTCTCATGATGCTGGGCAGCTGTAACTCCCTGCCAGCCATGCCATCATGAGGATAAACAAGTGATACACTTACAACCATTATGTTTTTCACTTTTAGTACAGTATTCAATAAATTACATGAGATATTCAGTACTTTATTATAAAATAGATGATTTTGCCCTAATATAAGGGTTCTGAGCATGTTTAAGGTAGGCTAGGTTAAGCTATGATGTTTTGTAGGTTAGGTGTATTAAATGCATATTTCAACTTATGATGTGTTTATTGGGATATAACCCCATCGTAAGTTGAGGAAGATCTGTACTTTGAAAGGTTGCTTCATTGTCAAATAGTTTGCATAGTTTCAGACAAGATGTCTGTTGCTGTTACTATTTTTGACCACCTGTATATGTCTTTTTCTGACTTTAAAGTTTTTTTCTTTTGTATTTTTATTTTTGGCAATTTGATTATGATATACCTTGATGTGGTATTCTTCATGTTGCTTCTGTTCATTGAGGTTCTTGGATCTATGAGTTTATAGTTTATACCAGATTTGGAAAGTGTTCAGCTTTTAAGTCTTCAAATAATTTTTTTTGACCTCTGCTCTCCCTCTCTTCTTCTGGGCTACAAGTTACATGTATGTTAGACCACCCAATGTTGATCCAAAGGTCACTGATGTTCCTTTTTTGTTTGTTTTCTCTATGTATTTCATTTTAAAAATTTCTGTTGTTCTGTCTTCAAGTTCTGATCTTTTCTTTGTAATTATAATCTGCTGTTAATCCCATCCTCCCGCCCTTCCTCTCTCCATCTTTTTCTCTCTCCATATGTGTGTATATATATAAAATTTCATATATTTTGTCATCTGTACAGATTTTATTTAAATATTTTTATATCTATTCTCTCCTCATGTTCATATTTTACTTTTGAGCATATGACATATTTATAATAGCTATTTTAACATGCTTGTCTGCTGTGCTATCATTTTTGTAATTCTGGGTCAGTTTCTATTGATTAAGTTTTCTCCAGTGTATGGGTCATATTTTTCTGCATCTTTGCATGCCTGGTAATTTTTTACTGAATCCTAGACATTATAAATTTTATGTTCTTTGATACAAGTTTTGTTGTTTTTCTTTAAATATTTTTGGATTTTCATCTGGGATATAGTTGAGTTTCTTGGAAGGAGGTTTCTCTTTTGGAGTCTTGCTTTTTAAGCTTTGTTGGGAGGGTCCAGAGCAGCCTTTACATTGTAGGGAGACTACTAAGGCAATGCCCTAATGAGGACTCTTCCCAGTACTCTGTGTATTAAGAGGACCTTCCACTCTGGCTGGAGAAAACATGAGCTCTGTTTAGACCCTGTGTGAGATCCAGTGATTGTTCTACCTGATCATTCCAACAATTCTTTCTCTAGCCTCAGTTAGTTTCTGCATACTCATGCAGATGAGTTCCAGCCAAAGACTCAAAAAGACACCTCTGCAGATTGCTGGAGCTCTCTTGAAAATATAACATTGGCCTCTCTGAACTTCAGACTGTCTTATTTCAACTCAGATCACTGGTCTCTGGATGCTCCCTCTCTGTGCTGGTACCTGGAGACAGCCCACAGCTGTAAACTGAGGCAATCATAGGACCCACCTGTTTCCCTTCTCTCAGATCATTCTCCTATGACACCTGCTGTGAATTACTGAAAACTTGTTTCATATATTTTATACACTTTTCTGGTTGTTTTATGAAGGAGAGTAGATCTGGTCTCTGTTAACTTCATCATGGCTAGAAGCCTCAATTAGAGTTTTAGCATAAAGAAAATACTAATGTGCTTGCCTTTTTATATAATTTGACCCAAATGCTAGCCATGGAATCATATAAAGAAATCAGACACATTTCACTGTATTTTCCTCCTAGAATAAAGCATATATAGTTTTGAAACTATCTTAATATTATAAGTTGCTTTTACCAAGGGAGAAAAAAATTGATGCCAAATATTGGAAAGATTTTACTTAACCACATTTCCTTTGACTAAACATCTAAATTATTCATGAATCATAGAGCATTCAAAGACCCTATTTGCCATAACCAAACTCTTTGGAGTTTGTTCCTTTTATTTCTTTTCTATTTGTTTTTTGACATTTAATTATAAAAGTAATCCATGACTTCATTTTCAGATAAATATTCAGACAATATGAGATTGCTTATTTTCATATCTTATCTATACCTGTGCTTAAGCTCTTCTGTTTTCAGAATGCATCCCTTTTTAATTTCTCAACTTATAATTTTTTAATTTTTTTAAGATTTATTTATTTGAGGGGCGCCTGGGTGGCTTAGTTGTTAAGTGCCTGCCTTCGGCTCAGGTCATGATCCCAGGGTTCTGGGATCGAGCCCCACATCGGGCTCCCTGCTTGGTGGGAAGCCTGCTTCTGCCTCTCCCACCCCACCCCCCGCTTGTGTTCCCTCCCCCACTGTCTCGCTCTGTCAAATAAATAAATAAAATCTTAAAAAAAAAAAAAGATTTACTTATTTGAGGGGGGTGCTGAGGCAGAGAGAGAGAATCTCAAGCAGGCTCCCTGCTGATCTTCGAGCCTGGTGCAGGGCTTGATTTCATGACCCATAAGTTCATGACCTGAATTGAAATCAAGAGATGGACCCTTAACTGACTCAGCCACGCAGGTGCCCCTCAACTTTTTATTTTGAAAATTTTCAAACCTATAGAAAACTTGAAAGATTAGACACAAACCAAGAAACAAACTCTGAACTGTAGAGAATAAACTGATGATTACCAGAGGGGAGGTGGGTGGGAGTATGGGTGAAAGAGGGGATGGGGATTAAGGAGTGCACTTGTGATGAGCAGTAGGTGATGTATGGAATTGTTGAATCGCTATATTATGCACCTGAAACTAATATAACACTGTATATTATCTGTAATGGAATTTAAAAAAAAATAAAGGTAGTTAACAAAATCAAAACATGAATTTTCATGGAATCCTGACTGAAAAAAAATCCAGCTATAAAAGCATTTTAAAGACAAATTGGGAAGTCTCAATTTAAATGTAATATTTTATTACAGATTAATTATTAACATTTTTAACATTATTAACATAATAATATTAATTAATAACATTAATTATTAACATTTAACATTAACGTAATAATATTAATTATTAACAGAAAATTCTGTTAATTTTCTTAGATGTGTTAAGGATATGATGTTACATTGAAGGATAAACTTATTCTTAGGAGACCCATGCTTGAATATTTCCGGGTGAAGTTTAACAATGTCTGCAACTTACTTTCAAATGTTTGTGTGAAAAATATATATGTAGGCTATATCTACATCTTATCTATCAAAAGAGAGAAATAAAGCAAATGTAGCACAATGTTAAGAAGCGTTGAATCTAGGTAAAATGTATACATGTATTCATTGTTAGAATCTTGCAATTCTTTTTTTATCATGATAAGTATACTCTTTAATCCAGAATATTCCATTGTATATATATACCACATCTTCTTTATCCATTTATCTATCAGTGAACACTTGGGCTACATCCATAATTTGGCTATTGTAAATAATGCTGCGGGCGCCTGGGTGGCTCAGTTGGTTAAGCGACTGCCTTCGGCTCAGGTCATGATCCTGGAGTCCCTGGATCGAGTCCCGCATCGGGCTCCCTGCTCGGCAGGGAGTCTGCTTCTCCCTCTGACCCTCCTCCCTCTCATGCTCTCTGTCTCTCATTCTCTCTCTCTCAAATAAATAAATAAAATCTTAAAAAAAAAAAATAATGCTGCAATAAACATAAGGGTGCATGTATCCCTTTGAATTAGTGTTTTTGTATTGGGGAGGGGGCAAATACCCAGTAGTGCAATTACTGGATCATAAGGTAGTTCTGTTTTTAACTTTTTGAGGAACCTCCATACTGTTTTCCAATGGCGGCACCAGTTTGCATTCTCACCAACAGTGCAAGAGAGTTCCTTTTTCTCCATATACTTGCTGTTTCTTGTGTTTTTTATTTTATCATTCCAACACGTATGAAGTGATATTTGTAGTTTTGATTTACAGTTTGCATCATCAGGGGATGATGAGTGATATTGAGCATTTTTTCATGTGTCTCTTGGTCATCTGAATGTCTTCTTGGGAGAAATGTGTGTTCATGTCCTGCCCATTTTTAATTGGATTATTTGGGGTTTGGGTGTTGAGTTGTATAAGTTCTTTATTACATTTTGGATACTAACCCTTTATCAGATTTGTCATTTGCAAATATCTTCTTCCGTTCGGTAGATTACCTTTTAGTTTTGTTGATTGCTTCCTTTGCTGTGCAGAAACTTTGTATTTTGTTGTAGTCCCAGTAGTTTATTTTTGCTTTTGTTTCCCTTTCCTCAGGAGGCATATCTAGAAAAATGTTGCTATGGCTGATGTCAGAGACATTATTGCCTGTGTTCTCTTCTAGGATTTTTATGGTTTCAGGCCTCATATTTAGGTCTTTAATCCATTTTGAGTTTATTTTTGTGTATGGTGTAAGAAAGTGGTCCAGTTTCATTCTTTTACATTTATCTGACCAGTTTTCCCAGTGCCATTTGTTGAAGAGATTGTCTTTTTCCCATTGGGTAGTCTTTCCTGCTTTGTTGAAGGTTAATTGACCATATAATTGTGGGTTTAGTTCCTGGTTTTCTATTCTGTTCTGTTAGTCTATGTGTCTGTTTTCGTGCCAGTACCATACTGTTTTGATTACCATAGCTTTGGAATATAATTTGAAGTCTGGAATTGTGATACCTCTAGCTTTGCTTTGCTTTTTCAAGACTGCTTTGGTTATTCGGGGTTTCCACAGGTGGTTGTGTATTTCTGATGAGGGGCAGGGGAGGGAAATGGAGCCTGCCAGCACCTTTGTTCCTGGAGAAGTTCCTCAGCAAACTCTGAGCTTGGTAACTAACTCTCCCTCCCATAAGCCCCAGACACCTTTCAAACTGCTGTTTCCAAGCCTATCTCTGCAGGCTCTTTGCTGTGCTGTCTCTTTAATGGTAGGGGTTCAGCTTCCTATTGCCCTCTGGGCTCTCCCAGAGCCAAGCCTACTGATTTTTAAAGTTTCAGGCTTTAAGTACTGATGGTTGTAAGCACTCACCGATTTCAGCCCCTCTGATTTTCAAAGTCAAATGCTATAGGGATTCCTCTTCCCCTTGCAAGCTCCCCCATGTGATAGTCTTGTTTCTCACCCCTCTTCATGCCCATGGCTTCCTCCCTCCAGTGTTCAGATCCATGGAGTTTGAGTTCCCACCGAGTCCTTGCCTTTCCTATTTTCTTCGATGTGGCCTCTTCTCTACATCCAGTTGTGGAGTTTGTTTGGCCAGTCTTTGGGTCATTATCTCTGTTGTTTGCAGGGATGAGTGTTATCTAGTTGTATTCGTGGGATGAAGTGAGTGTAAGGACTTCCTACTCTGCCATCTTCTCTAAAGTCCCAACTCTTTATTTTGAATGTCACAAATAATTTAAAACCAATTTGTTGAAGCCTCTCTTCTCATTTAACTTTAGCTTGATTTTGAAGTTTTAAGCAATTCTCATGAAAGTCTTTAGCCAAATATCCACTGCATGAATTTCTTAATTTCACTGCATTTTGAACTGTTAAAAGGAAATATGTATATTTTTGTTAACACACACACACAAATAGGTCAATGCAAAGGACACTTATTGATTCCCTGTTCCTTGTCATTTTCTGAGGCTAGTATTATTAATGTGATGCTTTGTTAAATAGACTAGATCTTAGTTGATATTGAGAAATTCTTGTTAATTTTGTTAGGTGTACTAGCCATAGTGTCATTGGGTTTTTAATCTAAAGTGAAATGAGATGATATCTGTAAAAAGCTTTAAAATAATCTAGGCAAAATAATAATAATAAGTAATCTAGGCAGTGGAGAAAAGAGTGTGTGGTGATATTAATAAAATCAGATTGGCAAAATATTAATTTTTGAAGGTGAGAATTGGGGCTATGTACTTCTTACTATTTTTTCTATGTCTGTGTATATTTAAATTTTCCATAAAGATTTCAAAACAAACAATAGCTGTATATTATACTGGTCACATTCTCTGACTCTGATCAATTAAACTACACATTGAAAACAAAAATGACTACAATAACAAATTAAAACTACTTAAAACTAAAAGATACTCTTCTAGATGACATTTGACTTAAAAATCAAAATCAAAACTAAACAAACTATTTAGAAAATAGTGATAACCACAACACCAAATATTGAAACTTTCAAAAAGAGCTCAAAGTTTCAAATGCTTTGATGATGATGATGATGATTAAAGGAGGAATGACAACAAATGAACTAAATATTAATGCTAGAGCCCAGAAAAAGAACAAAATAAACATAATGTAAATAAGAAAAAGAAATAAAATTCAAAGTAAAAACCAAATTAATATATCTGTTTAAGAGCAGGATATTTGAAAAAAGAATGACATAGATAAACCATAAGATAGCATAATTAAAATGGAAGGAAACCACAAATAGGAGTAAAAATGGACAGATCTTAACCTTAGACAAAAAGAGGTTTTAAAAATCTCTTATAAGAGAATTCTATTTAATGAGTTTAATGTAGCATTTATTAATATGGCAATAAGTGGGGATTCTGGTGAAAGTAATGGCTTATAGAAAAATCTTCAGAAGAATTCTGTTTACTTTAGAAAAATTAAATAATCTAATACTCATGGAAGAAACCGAGAAAACTGGTAGAGAACTTCTTAAAATGGTACCTGGGTATGTATCACATGTCTGGAAACGTGTGGGAAGTGTCTTTTCTAATACTCCATGCCCCTGTCTCTTGCCCAGTAAGCCTAGTGTACCTGCCTGGGTTCAGAATATATCTCACACAAGCAACAACAATCATCCAAGTGTAGGGTTATTTTTTAATGGAAGCAGTCTAAATAAGTTAGAATAGGAGATTCGTAAACTGTAGCCTAAGTAAAAAATACAAGAATATTTAATTCTATGGGGAGAAAGAGATCATGATATGTGGTTTATTTTTAAAAAGTTACTGAGTAATCCTAGTTTTTGGAAATATGTGTTCATTGATGGAAAAACACTAAAACAATACACATGAAGATGCTAAAAATAAACATCTCTGGATGGTAGAAATATAAATGCTTTTTAATTGGGGACAGAATGTGTTTATTTAGCTTTTAAATTTCCTACATACAAAAATATGTACTACTTTGTAACAACAAAAATAGAATAAAATAGTAAAACAAAAACTGGATGGTATAAGAGCTGGAAAATATTAAATATACATCATTGTAAATCTACATTTTTTTAAACTTAATATTGTCATGTAATCATGGATGAAGCTTACAAATAAAAGTGTCTGAACCAAAGGGATATTAAGGTGATTAATGTCTTTACTATCTCCGCCAGTTGAATCAACCTATTTATTCTCAAGTTGTTAAGTGGTAGGTACGTAGTCTGGCTGCAGCAACATGGAGGTGTCCTACTTGTTCTCTGTTGCCTTGCCATGGGAAGTCCTTAAATCATAGATCGATTGATTATAGACTCACTCCTGGAAAAACATGTAAATGTTAAAAGCCAAATAGTTCGACATTAATGGAATATTTTTTAGGGAGTTTATAATTGACATTTAAATTCTCTCTGGGGAAATTACTTATCTGAAGAATTTCTTAATATTTTCCAGTTCCTGAGAGCAGAAATGGGCCAAGACTACCATTTGGCAAAAAAATTATGTCAGATGAGTAAGTACAAAATACTTTTCTGTTTTCTAATTTTTTCTTTGTTTCTAAATGCATTCCATAGTATGTAAGATGGTCTGATGATTATAGCCTAGTGAATTCCCTGATACTATCTCAGTTATCAGTTATTTTCTTATTAATAAGTTAAGTTGATTGGTATAAAGACTAATTTAGACTTCTAGAATAACTTTGAGTGGGATAAACTAACAAAAACTAATCACCACTGGAAAATAAGTCAAAATCTTTACCTTATAGATAATGGGTTAGTAACTTTATGCCTTTAGTTTCAAAGAAGTGTGAGGGAGTGCAGCAAACCTTACTTAACATGCATTTATTTCACAACATTTGAGTGCCTACATGTGCCAGGCACTGGTTTAGGCACTGGAAATACAGCAGTCAATAAGACAGATAATCCCACGTTTATATCTAGTATCCAGCAGATAACAAATTCATATATAATTAGCGTGTCATAAATGATAGGTGCTGTGGTGAAAAATAAAGTAGGGAAGAAGGAAGAGAAAGTACTAGAAAGAGGCAAAGCAGTTTTGAATAGGATGGTCCAGGAAGGCAGGGTTCATAGCAAATGTGCCAAGATGTGAGTGTGCCTGAGGAGGAACAGCAAGGAGGACAATGTAACCAGAGTAGAATATGCAAGGGGAAGTGTGACAGGGGTTGAGGTCAGAGAGGTTATGGTTTGGGGGTTCTGTAGATTGCATAGTACCTTTTCACAATTTAAGGACTTTGGCTTTTTCTCTGAGCAAGGTGGGAAATCATTGGATGCTTTTGAGTAGAGGAATGATCTGATCTACCATATTTTTCTTTTTCTTTGATTTTTAGTGATTTGGCTGATGTATCTTATACTCAGCTCTTGTTTTTCCATTTCTTTTTATTTCTATCCTTCATTTTGGAATTTTTCTATTCACCTACCTGTTTTTGAGTTAACCTATCCTATCTTCTGCTGTGTTCAATCTGCTGTTTAAACTATCTAGTGACAGTCGGTTAAGCATCTGCCTTTGGCTCAGGTCATGAACCCAGGGCCCTGGAATCGAGCCCCAGGTTGGGCTCCTTGCTCAGCGGAGAGCCTGCTTCTCCCTCTGCTGTTCCCCCTGCTTGTGTTCCCTCTTCCCCCACCGCCCTGTCCAATAAATAAATAAAAATCTAATATATATATTACATTATATATATATACATCATATATATATATAATACATTAGTCATAATTATTTTGAAAGAGAAAATGGCAACTCTACAATTAAACTTTATTGATAATAGGACTCAAAATATTAGCTAGTGTTAGACCTAAGTCTTACAGTGCAAGTCCTTCAGTGAAAATGTAGTATAGGGCTCGTGAGGACCTACTCTCACTTGCCTCACACAGACTCTCCACTGTGGATACAGTACTTCTTAAATCGTTGGCTGATTTTTAAAAGGGGTTTCTTGAATGCTTTTACACTACTTATTTATTATCCAAAATAATTTGCCTTGTGCAATCCTTTCAAGCATTTTGACCTTTAGAGCCATCAAATAAATATTTGGGTTAAAACTATTTGGGGGTGGTACACAAACATACAATTTCTGATCAGAAAGAATCCTTCCAGAGCACCGTGTCCAGTTGTCTTATTTTTGTAAATAAGGAAGCAGAGAGAGGATAAGCCGCTTGTTTAGCACTCTTCGCGGGGCTAGCGGCACAGCCAGAACCCGAATTCAAGCTGCCGCCTCCCACAGCACCTTTCCTCTTTGCGGACTGCTGTGGAAGGGAGTGAGTCCGCAGCTTTCCCTCTCAGTTCTCAGAGTCTCTTTGGAGCCTAGTGATGGGAAAATGTATATATTATATTTCCATATCCATCGGTCATTTTAGAAAGCCTCTGGCTGAAGCTTACAAAATATATGCCCTGACATCACCACATCTGTCATTCAGTTTTGGCTGTTAGCCCTGCAGTATGCTACATAAACAGTAGGTGCTCAATAAAATGCTTATTGATCTGACTCAAACCAGTGAACACACATTAAGTGCCAGGTCAGTGGGGATGAAAAAGTTCAAGCTGATCTATCCTAATGGGGTTATGTCCCTGTAAAACATTTCCCTCCCTCCCTCCCTCTCTCTCTCCCTCCCTCCCTTCCTTCCTTCCTTCCTTCCAACAACAACAACTACATATCAAGCACCAGCTCTGTACCAGACATTATGCTGGGAGCTGGAGAGAAAGCAGGAATCCTAGCACACATGCTCTAAACCATTTTGGGTTTGACATTAACTATGGTTTGGTTTGGTTTTTACCCCTACTGGCTCATCCAGAAATACTAGTCACTCTTCTCTGTCAGTGTCAAATAGCAGTGCCTCAAACTCAGGATTAGACTATAGGAAAGGACGTGTGGAGAGCCCTAAGACAGGCTCTATGATCCAGGGAGCCAGTTGGGAAAGAACGCTGCTCCCAGGAGGAAGGGGAATGACTGGAAACTTGGGCAAAGAGGCTCAGAGATGGGAGTGCAGGCTGGGTGCATGCAAAATAGGATTGGTTATCCCTGAGGCAGATTCCAGCCAACCGTATGAAATTAGGGAGACCCAGGATTAGCAATGTCAAACAAGTTCAAGAAAGAACAGAGAGTTGGAGGTGCTCTGTCTCAGGGAGGAGAAAGTACTAGTTTGATGCTAATAGGAAACACTTGGCTGAGGACTGCCCAAAGTTCCTCTCTGTATTCAAAACAACAGACAAAATGAATTTTTTTCATCTAGGATGGACCCCAAAATATTTTACATGTAAATGCTCACAGTATACTGTTTTGTCTTTTTTTTTTCTATCTTCTAGCTCTTCTACAGAACACTTACCCTTTTCTCTCTATATGTATTTGTATATTTATGTATGTAAACAGATTATTTACATGTTTATATATTTATATATATATATATATATATATATGTATTGACCACCTACTAATAATGGGAGCATTCTTGAATACCTTGTTTAATTCTTAAAACAATTCTATGAGGCAGATATTAGGAACCCCACTTTACAGATGAGGAAACTGAGTCTTAGCAAGGAATACTAATTCACCAAAGTCACACAACTACTAAGAGGTAGAGTTAGGATTAGATCCTAGGTCTGGCTTGAAAGCCTCTGATATCCTACTATATTTCCATTTCCTCATTTGATTCATAAACTTATATTTCTGGTCAAGGAGGCAGGGACTTGGAAAGGGGGTACTTTTATGGGTCAGTCAGGCTTAAAATGGCTCCTGTGGTCAACTAATATATTTTCTTTGTATCGAAGGCTATTAGTTTATATAAAATAATGCATCCTTGTCCCTTCTAAAATGTTTTGTAAACTCATTTTCTGAATAAAGCTGCTGGTTGCTAGTATGTTTCCTTGCTGTCCAATCACAGTCAAGTCATTTATATCTCCATTGGGCTTCAGGGCTTCCCACCTGGCAGTCCACGTGCCTATGGTTTTTCTCTTTGTCCTGACTTAAAAAAAAAATTTGTATTGGGTTCCCCCAAGAAATTTTATTTGTCAGTGTAGGCTTGAATTTTATCTGTCTTCCACACACAATTTCTATATGCGCCCAGTATTTCCTCAGCTGTTTTCCTGCTATGTTGTGCAGAACTGATATCTCAGCTGTATGCCATTTCTTGCCAGGCATTGGAAGCATCCTGGAAAAGTGGTTTTTATATTAGACAAAGTCAAGAGTTCCAGGTACTTTTCTTAGTTCAGCTCATAATTGACTATGACATTTTGTGCCAATCTTTCTGTTTATTGGTCTCTTTACCTGTAAGAAGGGAACCTGCAGCTCACTCTCCTCAGAGCACAGCAGTGCTGCTCACAGGCAGCCCAACATTTTACACCAAAGAAACATTTAGGCCTGGAAGACCTACTTCATCAATTATAATTTTAAGTGTTTAAAAATAATGGTCGCAAAACCAAAATGTTTCTCATCACTTTGGTCTAACAAAATACAGATGGATATATCTTCAGAAAGGATAGTTACAATGAAGTTTCCTTCCTTTTTTTTTTTTTTAAGATTTTATTTGTTTATTTGTCAGAAAGCGCACAAGCAGAGGGAGTGGCAGGCGGAGGGAGAAGCAGGCTCCCCTCTGAGCAAGGAGCCCGATGTGGGAACCGATCCCAGGACTCTGGGATCATGACCTGAGCTGAAGGCAGACGCTTAACCGACTGAGCCACCCAGGCATCCCATCTTTCTTTTTTTGGGTAAAATAAATCACTTTTTCCTATTAACCTACAGTATAATTTTATCTAGGCATAAAAGGACTGCTTTCTACTATTCACTTATCCCATTTTTTAATGTTTTGAGGGCTCCAGCTCTGTGTCAGGCACTCTCCTAGGCATGCAACAGTGAAAAAGACCAATGTTCTGTCTACCCTAGACTAGCCTCCAGTATGAGGGACTGAGAGCCCTACAGGCAGCAGAATCCCCTGGCTCCTGCCCCAGCTCTTTAGCCAGAAGGAAACATCCACTGAATGTTTGGGAAGGAGCCAAGTCTTTCTCTAGGTCCAAAACCATTTCCGGAAAACTCACCTTGCACCAAGGACTGGATTAAGTGCTTTATCTACATGATCTCATTGATTCATCAGAACAGCCTAATGTGGCCAATAGTTTTATTATAGATAAGGAAACTGAGATGCAGAGATATTAAATATTTTCCCCAAGGAGACCCAACTAGATAGTGGCAGAACCAGGATTCACATCTGAGTCTTTCTTCAGGGCCCATACTGGGATCTGCTTATGGGCTCAGGTTGGGAACAACTCCCAGACCCTAACTGAGTGTGCTAGAGACTTTTCTTACCCTTTTACAAACCCTACTAGCCTGTGAAAGAGTAAGGAGAATTTTGTATTCATCACCTAGAATACATATTTCTGGGCTAAGTTTCAAAGCAGGTACATACCTTTCCCTCACTTTGAAAATTGACATTTGCCAGTGGTTTTTGTTAAACCATAAGCGTAGCAGATTCTATACTCCAGTCCCATGGAATAATCCTAATTCCAACATGAAATTTTCTAAACTGTATTTAAGATTTCTTACTGAGTGTTACATCAAAAAGTATTCCATGGGAATAATAAGTTGGGGAAACCACATTCTCCACTCTATAAGATTCATAATAGTTGTGAGCATATTAGTGGTTCTGTAAAATCCTGCAGTTGCTCCTATTGTAAACTTTCCCTGATTAACCTCATTTGACCTAGTTTCCCAAATATGTATTAACATCTTAAGAACCTAGTATCTCAAGGGGCGAGTTAGAGAAACTGCTCTAAGAAGAGGCTTGGAGAAAGATTTAGACTGCTAATGATAAGCATATTTGAGTCCCACTTAAAATGAATTAAAAGATACTTTTATTAGAAACCTTAAAAGGTGTCTAAATACCTATAGGATCCTTAAAAGCAGCTTCCGAGCAGGTGCACAGTCATGCTAACCCAGATCGATAGTAAATTGTTATGTAGGTAGATTAGGAAAGAAAGACACTGGTTTGGTGTGTCAGGAGGAAAGCCATATGGGATGATGTCCTATAAGCCCCGGAGCCTAGTTGAACCATCCACAATTATTTGTCTTACTCTTAGTCAGGTGAACGGCACACTTGATGTTTCAGTGCCCCCTGGGGGCCATCAAGATATTACATGGGAGTCACAACATTAAACGGATAAAGCAGAATTATGAATACTCCTCAAGGTGCACAGTCTTCTCATTAGCGAAGCCTCCACATTTTGCAGGATATGTCCTTTGTTTGGTTTTAGTCAAAAAACACTTTGGCTACAAGGCCTGTGGGGAAAGCCTCATAGTGATGGAGATTGCATTCTTTAGACAGGATGTAGAAAATATAATGAGAATTATTTCTCTTACAGTGCACCTATGATAAGTAGAGCATTTTCTCTATTTGCACTTGGGTATTCCTGTGGAATAATTGTTGGTATTTATTGCTTTGTGCATTTTCACTTACTCTGACAACTCCAGTCTTATTCTGAGGAACCTGTTTGCTGAAACGCTTTGTTAGTAACAAACCTTCTGTTGTCTATTTTCAGTCCTAATCTATGAACCAGAAAATCCTGAGGCCAAGGAGTTTTTCTTACTTCTTGAAGAAATGTTGCTGATGGGTAAATTTAAAAATTGAAATTCCTTCTTTCTCAAAGAACTATGAGCAGTCACTATTTAGAAACCCATTATCCCAGGAGATTGGTGAAGTACACCCTTAGGAAGTGGTTAAGAAAAGGCTAACTGGTTGTCTTTGGATGGTTTAATGAAACCAGCTTGGTCTTTATGGGTGGTCAAGGTGACTCCCTTTTCTCCGTGGGGTTGTGGAACTGCCCAAGTGAAGCAGGTTCCTGGACACCAGGCATCGGGCACTGACAGAGTCTTCACAGGGCACAGAACATGCTCATTGCCACACATGTTAGAGGAGCTATCCCACAATTCCAAGGAAAACCAGTACCCTCTAAATTACCCTGCATCTCACTCCTATTTAACTAAGAATTATGGTAACAATAGTAAAATATATATATATATATTTTTATAGACCTATGTTTTAAATTTACTCTAAGTCCATAAACATCTTTATACCAGTAAGAATATAGTCTTCTTTGTACTACTACTTTGAATCCTACATACAGTCAGCAAAGTTTGGCTCAGTTCTCATGTTCCAAAGGTGGGTATTTCTTAGTGGAGGGGGAAGCAAGGAGAGTTACAATTTTTCAAAGAGTAGAAATATCAAGAACATTTTAAGCAATTCTCTTCCTTTCCATGGCAGAGAAACCCCAAAATCTTGAGGAAGATGATGAAGATAGTGAAGAAGATAGTAGTGGTGAGAGTGAAGGAGAAAGCAGTGAGGAGCTAAGTGAAGAAAGCTCTGATGAATGTGAAGACGGGTGATGAAAGTTGCTGCTATGCTTCAATCTTCATGTATTTTCATTACTGTATACCATGGAAATATAAAGAACAATGCTGCATTTTAATCTGATTGTTCTTTATTTGTCACACAGTTCTTATAGTTTATCCATATTGGTTTGAGCTCCTTCTTAATATTTAGGTCTTACCTCTGTGAGTTACTCAGAGAGGAAATTAATAATGGAAAATACTTACATAGCACCAACTGTGTGCCAGGTACTGTTCTGCACATATTAGTTTATTTAATCCAACAAACCATGAGGTTCAGCTTAAAACAACACAAATTTATTATCTTACAGTTCTGGAGGTCAGAAGACCAAAATGAGTGTCACTCAGCCAAAATCAGGGTGTCAGCCTGCACTCTTTCTGGAGGCTCTAGGAGAAAATCTCTTTCCTTGCTTTTTCCAACTTCTAGAGCTTATGCACAGTCCTTGGCTCATGGCCCCTTCCTGCATCTTCAAAACCAGCAACATCTGGCTGAGACGTTCTCATGTTGCCATCTCTCTAATCCTCTCTCCCCTGTGTTGTGATGTTTGTTAAATTAACATTTGTTAAGGAGACCCCTGGTGTGTCAGATGGCAAGTGATGCTTCCACAAAGACCACAAGGGAAAGTAAAATAGAGAAGTTTATTACAGTTCCTGGGGAAGGTACATGGCATGCATCAGAGGGGCCACATAGGGAGGTCAAGGCGCAGACAGAAAGTGGAAAGCAGGACCTGGGGCATGCCTTTATTAGGGCCATGAGTGGGTGCTTTTGGGGTTCCCAGGCTAAGGCTGGATTGGCCAGTTCAAACCAAAAAGTTCAGGGTTTTGGTAAGCTCAGTGGGGGTCTTATCTAAGGGGTGCACAGGGGAAGCAGTTGGGAGGCAGAAGAGATTGTTTATCACCAGGGGCATTGGGGAAGTCATATCAGTTTACACTTGTGATTCTGTAGGCTATTATCTATGGGTGGTTATCTCATGAGCTTGAGAGGCTAGTGTGTTTAGGCACACAAAATGGATGCCAAGGCAGCAATAATATGGAATAGTTTAGCTAAACTCTCAACACCCTATCTCCTCCTTCCACTTTTAAAGATTTATTTGGGGGCCCCTGTGTGGCTCGGTTGGTTAGGCATCTGCCTTCAGCTCAGGTCATGGTCTCAGGGTCCTGGGATCGAACCCCACATCTGGCTCCACACTCAGTGGGGAGACTGCTTGTCCCTCTCCCTCTGCCCTCCTGCTCGTGCTCTCTCTGTTTCTCTCTCAAATAAATAAATAAAATCTTAAAAAAAAAAAAGATTTATGGGGGAGTGGCAGAGGGAGAGAAGCAGACTCACTGCTAAGTGGAAAGCCAGACTAGGGGCTCAACATGGGGCTTGATCTCATGACCCTGAAATCATGACCCTGAGATCATAACCTGAGCTGAAATCATGAGTGAGATGCTAGGCCAACTGAGCCACCCAGGCACCCCATCTTCCATTTTTATTTTGTTTTTTATTTTTTTAAAGATTTTCTTTATTTGGCAGAGAGCGAGAGAGGGAACACAAGCAGGGGAGTGGGGGAAGGAGAAGCAGGCTTCCCGCAGAGCACGGGAGCCCAATGCGGGGTTCGATCCCAGGACCCTGGGATCATGACTTGAGCCGAAGGCAGACGCTTAATGACTGAGCCACCCAGGTGCCCTATCTTCTTCCATTTTTAAAGACACTTATGTCTGAATAATCCAGGATAATCTATAATCTTCCCTATTTTAGAGTCAGCTGATTAGCAACTTTAATTGAATCTGTAATCTTAATTGCTCTTTGCCCATGTAACCTCACATACTTATGGGTTCTGGGGATTAGGACATACATACACATCATTGAGAGTGGGGGGAAGTATTGGGTAAGTATTCATATTTTCGAATTCATGGTATGGAGCTTGGAAGAAACACTTTGGTTGGAAATAGATGCCTTAATTAGGACTCATCAGTTTAGACTCAATTAGATAACACATAACAGAAGTATCTCTTTGATTAGAGATAGTAATCAAAGATAAGGAAGTGATGGCTCACAGAGAAAGTATAGTCTGTATAGAAGAGGACTGAAAATAAAATTATCTTAAATGATAAACATTTAAGTGGTAGTCTAAGAAAGAGAAGTGCACAAAGAGACAGAAGAACAGCCAGCAGGAAAATCAAGAAAGTGAATATAGTGGGTGCTATTGGTTGCCCACTCAGCATCTATCCCTCCCTGCATCTTTGCTAAGAGAGCTCTGATTCTGTTAGGATATTCACTCTGCACACACATAGCCATGGGACTCAAGAAAGGTACCCTCAGCCAATCAGTACATGGCATTTCTTTGGTGACTGTTACTGTTCCAAAGGAGGTCATGTGACCTACATTGGCCCAACCAGACCAAGGACTTTATTTCATGATTGGAAGGAGAGATTCCTCCATCCTTCTGGTTAAGAACCAGGAAGGATGCTGCCCTTCTTACTGCTGGCAGCCATTTTATGATGATGAGGGGACTGAATCTTAGGATGAAGCTAATGCTGTGGATGGCAGAGCAAAAAGAACCTAGATTTCTGGTGATGTTCAGCCACGCAGTTAACTGCTCTGGAAGCCAGCCCTCTGTTTGTGCTTATTATTATGTGAGATAGCATTCTTATTATTTAAAATGGTTTGGATTGAGGGTTGTTTTTTTTTTTTTTTTTTTTTTGCTGCTCAAAACATCCTACCTAATAATGAATACTACCACAGAAATGCAGGAAAGCTTCTAGGCCCGGAAAGATCTGCTTGGCCAAACATTGTAAAGAGGACAAGTAAGGTAAAAACGAAAAAAGGTGTTGGATAGCAACAAAGAGGTGGTTGGTGACATTAGGGAGAGCAGGGTCAGTCGAGTGGGGTGGGGGAGAGCCATATTTCAGTGAGTTTGAGTGCACTGGAGTTGAAAAGGAAAGCAAGGAGTTTGATATAAAGGAGAAGATGAAGCGTTGGAAGACAGGGAAAAGGAATATAATTTTTTTAAGTGTTTAAGGTGAGCAGGTTTAGTAGGAAGGATGATTATATGTACTGATTAGCTGTCATGCGTTGTGCATATTGTGGGATGTACTAAGCATGCCGTATGTTAATGTTTTTCATCTTTATAACATCAGTACAGGGTGGGCATTATTATCTCCCATTTACATTTGAAGTAACTGAGGCCTAGAGAAATTGAGAGTATCTTTCTAAAGATCACACACCTGGGAATTAGCAGATTCAAATCTAGGTCTCTTTTTTTGGTGTGTGTGTGTTAGGGTTTCATAACTATTTGACCATCTGGTCATTTCTTATCCACACTGACTGACTAGGTTTTTGAAAGTGGTGATAGGTACCTAAGTGACGTATATAGAGTTTATTTGGCAAATCTTCGTCCTCATTCCATTTTCTGGATGACTGCACGTAAACACAGTATATTCCTTTATGGGGCATTCCCTATTTTCTTTGGCCCAGACAGCTTTGTTGAGCCTGGTGTCAATGAGCACATCTGGAGTTCCCATCTCTTTCATGGCAAATTTTCAGATCTCTGTGAGTGCCTGAGGAGCATACCTCTTAAAGCCTATTCCATGGATGATGCACTTGTGAATGTTGATGGTGTGTTCTCTGGTCTGGTCACTAGCTCACTGGTGACAGAGTGGCCCTACTCACTGCTCTTCTTTGTGAGAGAGCCATTCTGCTGGGCCCAGGTTGGAAAGGGAGAGTGCCAGGTATTCCAAATCCAGGTATTTTAATCTAATGCTACCCTACCCTTCACCCCTGTGCTTTCCTCCCTAAAAGGTCAGTAGAGAGAAACAGATTGAAGAAAGGGAGATGATTTGTCAAGTAAAGCCTATCTAATACCTCAGAAAATGCATGTAACATAACCTTGGTTTGTGGTGGTTGGTTCTGTTTGGACCACTGCCCCAGCAGTCCAAGCGTGGAATCAGAGATGCCTCTCCTTTGTTCCCCAGTATTGGTCTTTATAAAGCCTTCAGTTATCCTACAGTTCTTTATATATTAAACAAGGTGACAACCTGCATTCCCTTTCATTGTGGTGTGGTTTTTCCCTTTAACTTTACCCTGGTTGACCTGTAAGATATCTGTAATTTTGATATTTGCCTAAAATACTGATGTTCAATAAGAGTGAATGCTTGATCATAACTCATAGTGCCAGATGTGAAGGAAAGCCTAGATCTATTGGAAATGTTTTGGGGTTCTGGGCAAGTGTCCAATGTCATGAGGTACTGAGAGTTCACAGTAGGGGTAGGATAAGGCTGCCAAGGCCAGACTAAGAAGGGAAAGGTCTCTCTGATTGGCTTTCCTAATAAACTCACCAGCTGCCATGGGTTATGAGTTATAATGGGGCTAACTCTGGTTTCATACCTGCCCTATCTCTGAATATCCTATGTAAGACAATATATTTTCTTACCATTCAAGCCTATTTGTTTCAGATTTTCTATTACTTATAGTCAAGAGAGCCCTTCCTAATGTCCATGTCACAGCATAGCAAACATGATGACCGATAACATCCTCTTAAGACTGTAAGCCAAACTGGGCTCTTAAGGTTACCCTCAGGTCTCCAAGGGGTCATGGCCACTCAAAGCCAAGGAAGGGGAATTGGTGGACCCTTGTGCCAGTTCACAGTATGTGTAAAATAGAAATATAGGCATACCTCATTTTATTGTGCTTTGCTTTATTGCACTCTGCAGATACTGCATTTTTTTACAAATCGTAGATTTGTGGCAACCCTGCATTGAACAAGTCTCTTGGTGCCATTTTGGTAATTCTCACAATATTAAAACTTTTTCATTATTATTGTATTTGTTATGGTGATCTGCATGTGATTTGGTGTCACTATTGTAATTATTTTCTGGTGCCATGAACTATGCCCATAGAAGACAGCAAACTTAATTGATAAATGTGTGTGTGCTGACTCCTGTACCAACCTACCCTTCTCTCTCTCTCTCTCTCTCTCTCTCTCTCTCTCTCTCTCCCTGTCCTCAGGCCCCCTATTCCCTGAGACACAGTAATGTTGAAACGAAACCAGTTAATAACCCTACAGTGGCCTCTAAGTGTTCAAGTG